ACAGACAGATAGATAGATATGGCACCTTGGGTCCTCATTTTTCAGTAGATGGCAGTCAGAGTTTTCCAAGTTTTAACTATCAGGTAAAAGTTCTTATGCAAGTCTAAAATTTGTCAGACCTACAGGAACCTAGCCTTGTCATTCTTCATCATTGTCAAAAGATACTGCTGATATAAACAAATTCTATTCATGGTTAGAGAGGGCTGAAGTGATGGACGCTCAGATGCAATAATCACTTGGGAAGGAGACAAAGAAGAACAAGCTAACTAATGTGTCCGTTAGGTAGTTATTTAAATTGAAATGAAACAGTGTTTTGTAGACCTGGTCTACCTAGCCCAAATAAGGTTAACTTAGTCTACTTTCACATGTTTACCTGTGTGTCTGTAAGAGATGATCCCTGTAGTGACGTCTGCTTGGATGAAGCGATCGACCACCTCACCATTTCTCAGCACCACACCATAAAACGGTTGGCGGGCAATTAAGAATGTCAGGCTGCTGTTGTCACTGTCAGCGTCAGTGGCATAGATATACTCAGCAGTGATGATCATTTCCTGTCCTTCTGCACACCTGAGCACTGGTTTCAAACCAGCAATCATCACTGGAACCTCATCGTTGATGGGTATTACCTGAAAATGTATTAATTTATCTTGGTGAAAATCGGTGGGGGTTAGTATAAAACAAAACAAGTACTGCACAAGTATTGAGCTCAGTTAAAATTTTATGTAAGCTTTGCACAAAATGTAAGGACAGTTGTGTTTGATTGATTATTTATTTTGTTGCAACAATACATCTTGGTAATAAACCCTATACCAGGGGTTTTCAAAGTGTGGGAGAGGTAGTTCTCACACACTTAAACAACAGCGATCCCCACCCCCCCAACTACATTATTGCTATTATTTCTGTTACAATGTTTTGTGTCACTATACTTAATACTCCATGTATACTTAAAAAAATGTTTGTTTTACATAATGTTACTTTTTTCTTTTACACATCTGTGCTTTTATAAACATATTTTTTACACGTTTTAAATATATGTGCTTTAAAATAAACACATTTAAAATGTTTTTTTTTAACAGCTCACATCATCTCAATCTCTTTTCTTCTTTTCTCTTACTTTTCCTGGTTAATTTTTTTTCCCTTACGTAGCACTCCCTTTGGAGAACTATGGCACCCCCAAAGGGAGGTGTGCCCTATACTTTGAAAAACGCTTCCCTATGCCATTTAAAGGCAAATTTATTTCCCTTGAAATAGAGTTACATTAGAAAGAAAAATGCATTTTTGGGTTGATCAGTTACATGTGTGGGTCGCACGCAAAAAGAGCTTGCAAGATTTTCTCTGCGAGTGACAACTAGCCTATTCTGCTACTGACTCTTGTTTGTTGGATTGGACGACTAATGTCTTAACCCAACCCTCCTGCTGCCATTAGGTCAAAATAACCCACAACACCTTAGTCTTGGGGCTTTTGGGTCATTTTCACTATCTAAGGCAGAAGGAGGGTTAAAAAAAAAACAAAGCATACTGGAAATTTAGCAATATATTCATTTAACAAACAATGAACTCAATATCATGTGGAGTGAGGATGAAGTCCAAAAAGCTCTGAAAAAAATTAAATTAAGGGGAAGGCAATAGGACCTGACAACTTACCAGTGGAGCTTTGGAAATGTCTTGGAGAGAGAGATGGCAGTGAGGTTTTTGACTTAGATTTAATGGTATATTTGAGGTTAAGAAAATACGTGTTTTTTTTTACGGGTACTCCAGTTTCCTCCCACAGACCAAAAACATGCATGTTAGACTGGTTGGTAACTCTAAATTGTCCCTAGGTGTGAATGAGAGAGTGAATGGTTGTTTATCTCATTTGTCTTTATGTGTCTCTGTGATGGACTGGAGACCTGTCCAGGGTGTACCCTGCCCGACGCACAGTGATTGCTGGACATGGGCACCGGCGACCCCTGTGACCCAAAAAATGGAAGAAGCGGGTAAAAGATAATGGATGGATGGATGGATGGGTCCCAGTTACATCCAACAAAAGTATAAATTGTAAAAGAAAACAGTAATAAGATCTAAAATATGAACTAAGAAATATGCTAAAAACTTGGTGCAAAAACAATGTGTCGAACAACACCAACACTAACATGAATCTGTGTGAGCAGATGAGTATGAATAAACACATGTGTGTGAATGAGCGGGAGACAGGTGGAACAGTGAGGCTACAAGGAGCAGAAGTCACAAAGTTGCAGGACTTCAAGTACTTGGGGTCCATTGTCCAGGAAAATGGGGAATGTGGTAAAGAAGTGAAAAAGAGAGTCCAGGCAGGATGGAGTGGATGGAGAAAAGTTTCAGGAGTGATTTGCAACAACGGTCAAAGGAAAAGATCACAAGACAGTGGTGGTGAGACCAGCTATGTTGTATGGTCTGGAGACAGAAATATGGACAAAAAGACAGGAGAAAGAACTGGAAGTGGCAGAAATGAAGATGTTGAGGTTCTCCTTAGGAGTGACACGGATGGATAAGATTAGGAACGAGATCATCAGAGGTACAGCACAGGTTTAACAACTGGGAGATAAAGTTAGAGAGGCCAGACTAAGATGGTTTGGACATGTCCAGAGGAGGGACAGTGGTTTGGAAATGTCCAGAGGAGGGACAGTGGTTTGGACATGTCCAGAGGAGGGACAGTGGGTACACTTGTAGAAGGATGATAGAAATGTAACTGCCAGGAAAAAGCCAAAGAGAAACTCCAAAGAGGAGATATATGGATGCAGTTAAAGAGGACATGGAGGTAGTTGGAGTGAGGAGAGAATACAGAGGACAGAGTGAGATGGAGGACGATGACTCTCTGTGGAGACCCCTGAAGAGCAAAAAGCTGAAAGAAGAAGAAGAAAAAGAAGCTTTTTGATTGTACAATTTTTAGCATTGATAAGAGCAAAAATAAACTACTATTGTAAGTGGCAGGACATCAACGTTCATGATTATGTATAGCAAGCTATGATTTGTCAGCTGGTAACTTAGGTATAAAATTAAAAGCAAAAATGGCATGTTCTACTGTCTTTTCCATCCAAACGAAAGTGTAAATGGTGTCTTACAGGAGCAAATGGCATGCTATAAAATGTTGAAAACACACGTAGCTTGCATTGCAAATGCCTTGTGTCTTCATCCACTGCTGCTGCAGATCATAACGAGGAAACTTTTCCACACAGTTGATTTGAATCAAACTGAGTCATTTAGATTCTGTGCATTTATCTGAACCTTTCTCTGCTTATTTTCTGTTATTGCTGTTAGCAAAAGGCAGCTAAATAAAATGTGCCAGCTTCTCATTGAGGGTGGTGATCACCAATGATTAACATTTTCATCCTAGTTCACTGAATCTGTCCAAAATATCTGTATCAAAACAGTTTGGTATGAATACATCTACCTTTACACCCCTATTACCTTTTAATATTGTTTTAGTGGTCATTTCCTCAAATTGTACTTACATTTACTGGCACAGTAAAACAAGCTGAATTGGTGCCATCGGTTATCGTAAATTCAATGATGTCTTCTGTAGTTTCCGAGTTGTCATGGCTATACCTGGATAAACAAACAGTCAAAACAAACAATTAATTACTGTAGTATTAAGACATGGTTTATCTAGGATCCTAAATAATTTGCAGGATAAGTTACATTTCAGTAAAGCCAGCAATGTGATTCGTCTTAGTTTTGGGAATTTAACAAATCCTCAATTTTTCCTAAACCTCACCAAATGTTTAGAAAGCCTCATAAGGTCTTCCAAGGGTTAAGGGAGCACAGTCCAGACAATTTTGTCTTCTTAGCTTTTTTTGATTTTAAAACTAAAACCTTCAATGTTTTCAATAAAGGAATCAAGCTGCATGTCTGACCTAACTTTAAGTCTTTCCAGGTCTTGCAGATCAAATGTCTGCCCTGCTGTAAGTGGATAGCCACCAAGGTGTAGAACTCCATGAGCCGGTTCTTTATGAAGCTCCACTTGCAAGGCCTCTTGTACAGAGTCCACATCTGACACATGCAAGTGTTCAGGGCTCAGCAAGCATTCCCCTCCTTCGTTTACAGTCAAAGAGTTGGTGATGACCTGAAACAAAACACATTATCTTTTTTTTTTGCATATTCACACAAAGAATAAATGAGACGGGGAAAAGGTGATGGTGCTTTCTACTTGTGGTGGCTGGTTGTCCACTGGGACTATAGTGATGTTAAAGCAGATCCCAGTGACTGTTTTACCCAGATGATTGGTTACAGACAGAACAAACTGGATATATTTAGGGTTAGGACCAATGTCTATGACTGGAGGCATGTAGGCTACTTTCATGAAGTTCACTGCATGCTGAAACAGAGCAAAAGAAAAAATATTTTAATGAACAATACCACATATACTAATGAGTAAAAAAGAATAAAGAGATTTACTTGTGTAAAGAGCCTCAAAACTGGTGCACTGGAGTCCTTGGTAAATTTGGGTATGCTGTCAACAAGAAATAACCTCCCTGCGTCTGGACTGCTGCTTGGTAAGACAGCGACCCAAACTTCAGAAGACATGCTTTCTTAATCGTCTTAAATGAATGTGAGTATATACTGACCTGTGATGACCAGTGAAAAAAGGTGGAGTAGTAACTGTGTATGTGAGCTCACTGTCGGGAGACTCCTGGTCTACAAAGTGGAGCTGCTGCCGTGTAATAAAGGCCACTTCTGTTTCTTTGAGCACAAGATATCGACTAGAACCAGGAACTTCTTTAGGTGGCTGGTCTGGAACTGGTTCTATGTGCACTACCACCATCTGAAGGTAATACACAAGATTCAATCAGTTATCAACTACAAACCTTTACATTATATATATTATATTACACATATTTAGATGTTGAAGTTTCTGTATTTAACGGTAAAACAAAATTCCAGGCACATATTGGGGAGCATGGTGGAAGCATGATGAAGACATGGGGCAAGGGTGCATTGGTGTGGCTTAGTTATTGAGAATTAAAAGCAGGACTGGCCAAACTGGTTTCATGCCTACGCTTTGATGGCTATAATGTCCACAGTGGTAGCATCAGCAAATGTTCTGTATTATTTTAGTATGTAGCTGCATCCTGAGTCAGTATATGGAAGTTGTGCCAGGGCATGTGTAAAATGTGTTGTGTTGGAGTTTGCATGCTAAGAATGGATGCACAATAAATCAAACATGTACTGTAATTTTAAAGTTAACAAGCACAGTAACAATATTGCAAAAGACTGTGTTGATTGCAATAAATCATGGATATTTTTATTTTAAGTATCATTTTGAAGAATCAGCTGAAAATATAAACATCTGAACAGAATAATCTGTTTGAAGAGTTTCAGTCAGAGTTTAGAGCTCATCATAGCACAGCTCTGGTGAAAGTTACTGATGATATTCTCATGGCCTCTGACAATGGACTTGTGTCTATACTGGTCTTGTTAGACCTCAGTGCTGCATTTGATACATTTGATAACAATATTTTACTACAGAGGCTGAAAAAAAACCTGGATGACCCTTAATTTTCTCCTGTTGAACACAGACAAGACTGAGGTTTTGGTTTTTGGATCTGAGCACCTTAGGAATTGATTTTTCAGTCTTTCTCCCTCCTTAGATGGCATTAATCTGTCCTCCAGCTCTAATGTTAAAAATCTTGGTGTTATTTTTGATCAGGACATGTCTTTTATCCCCCACATTAAAAACGTTACTAGAACCGCCTTCTTCCACCTGCGTAATATCACTAAAATTAGAAACATCTTATCTAAAAATGATGCAGAAAAACTGGTTCATGCATTTGTCACATCTAGACTGGACTATTGCAATGGTTTATTATCTGGATGTCCAAATACTTCTTTAAAACGTCTTCATTTGATCCAAAATGCTGCTGCCAGAGTCTTAACTGGAGTTACTAGGAGAGATCCTCTCTCTCCAGTTTTAGTTTCTCTCCATTGGCTCCTTGTCAAATCCAGAATTTAATTTAAAATCTTACTTCTAACCTACAAAGCTCTCATCAACCTAGCTCCATCTTATATTACAGATCTTTTTTTTTTTTTTTTTTTTTTTTTTTTTTTTTTTTTTTTTTCTAGATGGCCTCCCTTCTCCCCTTACAGCCATCCTCTCCACACCATTATTATTAAATATTTATTATAGTGACATTCTAGTGTAGGGTTTTTTTTTTTTTTTTTTTTTTTTTGTTTTTTTTTTTAATAGGATAGAAAAAAAGAAAAGACAAAGTAAGACTCCAAAATATAAGAAATATATACAAATAGAGCACACTTCAAAACACCCGGCCACTGTCTGTTCACCTGCAAAGAACATGACAAAACACAGCAACAAAATACATATGTATAAAGAACTTAAAATATTCATGGCTTTGCAGTAAGTTTCAATAAATATATATACCCATACCTACGCCTATATACATACATACATACATACATACACATGAATATACACTCACATACATATCTATATATCTACATATAAAGCCTACATAA